TGAAAAATTTAACACTGATAAATGTATACAAATTTTTTTTATTATTAATTACATGTCGAGTATTTACAAGCTTGCGTGTATACCATATTCGAATGTCAATTTTACGCGAATGTGTAATGCAAAAAAAATATGTTAAATTTTAATTAAAATATGTACAATATCTGTTTAATTGAAAGGGAGAAAATGTACGCAGCGTCCGCATTGTTTCTTATAACTTTACAGTACATCAATGGATCGATAACAAAACGAAGAGTGATCTTATAAAGGCCTTATATAATATTTTCAGTCCACTGTGCAACTATTTGAAACATGTTACAATAGAATACGACTTATTAATTACACATACTATTACTTTCTTGTTTAATCAAGTATAATCGTACCATTAGAAGTTTAAAAAGAAAATCGTACAAAATGTGAGCATAAATTACTCTTTCGATTATATCATGTCATTCCGCTTTTGCAACTACAAAGACAGTCTCTTGCGTTCACAGGATCGGTCTGTCTCATAGATTTCGTTTCCATCGTTTTACGTTTCATTTTTGGAGCCCTTTTAAACAGTTCTGTTTCCGTTTTAGTAAGATTTGCAGTGTGTCCTTGGAGAACCAAAAGTCAAACTGGAGGGGCGGTTTTAGCCTTTGTCTGATCGACATCAGCACCGCATAGTTGCTTTTGGTGGTTCGAGTGAAACTCGTCCTTTTCGATGTTAACATTGGTTGTACATTATACGGATACCATGTGGCTGTTTGTCGTAGCATGTTACGTCGATAATATCGACAAGCTCCAACAAGATGAAGGATCAGACTCATTTAAAGTTTGTCTCCATCGCGCGCATCCGCAAAAATTATGTTCCCAAGTTATCCATCAGGACTTTTATCACCGCTCTCTCCTCCGTTATAAATAAATTATAGCGAGTATGATCGTTTCTAAAAATACAGAGGGTGGATGATTTCTGCATTGTTGGTTCTAATTGTTCTTACATTTTCTTGGATATTTGTAATAGCATAATAGAACAATATCATTTCATTAACTCTCCTCTCACGTTCTTTAGAAATATCGATGAATAATGTATGCTCACATTCTGTAACCAATCTTCGGATACATGTCAATCAAAATGATACAAACAAGACATTCATATACTTTATAGTGCTTCTCAGTACTGAATAGCACAATATTTCACTCTTTTTTGTTTCTATTTCTTTTGCGTTGAATGATCTAAATATTTCAAGCTGGCTGAGGTTTACTTTTTTCGTCGATTTTAATTTCTTTGCAATGATATTTTGTTTACCTTTAACGTAATAAAAAATTATTAAATGAAAATTTAAAGAGCAATATTCAATAATACTCTTTTATTATAATCTTTTTCTACTCAACTGGCAGTTTTAGAAAATTATTCTACAACTATATTTTTACAGAGAACAATTTCACCGAGATTAAATTATATAATATTTGTAATAAAATAATCAACCAGCATGATATGAAGTAAAAACAATGTTTCAGATTATACATTCTATTATATTGCAATCTTACAAAATTTAACACGGTACTAACTTTATATGAAGTGTATGATGACACTTATCTCGTTTGAGATACAATGTACTCAACAGTTATGTTCACAAAAGCATTATCATTTTACTTTTTAATAATTACACAATCATATATATTGGAAATATTAAAATGAAACATTTCTCCCTGCTCCGTAGTATCAAATGTATGAATTATCTGGATCGTCATGTCGAAATAAAAATCATCATTCATTATAATGTAATGTTCATGAATTTTGACTGTGTAGAGAGTCAGATATCCAGTATCAAATTTAATTTCTTTGATCTTCACAATCAGATGTTTGATAGGGGCAAGCATAGTAGAAATTGAATCAAGTAAGAAATACAAGATACTTGTTGCTAATTAAAAACGTTTGACGTCTAAATTGATTGTAAAAACTAATCGTATGATCGAACTAACTTTTCTCTGATATTAATTAGACCTCACCCTCAATCAAAGGATTATAAATTCTTAAGGAACACACGATCGCTTTTTTTGCCACATTGTCGTATGTCTATCCTTGTGCCGCATGATTGCACTTACGTCTGCCTTCGTTGTTTTTAATTGGAAAAACAAGGAGAAACATACGGAGCAAAGATCTCTTATGTGCACCAGGCTAAAGGAGACTCTACATATTGAAATATTTTATGATGCATGCACCGCAACATATTTCAACGTGTAGGAACTATTTAAGATTAATGTCACACGAACGTTGGAAAAAATATCGATTATAATTTTGGTTCAGTTTCTTGAGCTTGATTTAAGATATTATGAAGTACAGTAGATATTGCGTGTATTAGTTAATGACTGAGTGAGTGAAAAAGTTACACTAGCTTATATCAGCGTATTCTTTTGCTGTATGCTCGTTTGTCCTCCCAATTACAAATAACGAAGGCAATCATAAGTACAATCATGTGGTAAATATTTGGAAATGTAAGGACAAACCTAAAACGCTAGTGTGACTGTAAGAAGGCATGAAAATTGATGTACATCGTTCCAACGCTCGTATGACTTAAAGGATAAATTCCAGTTTTGTGTACATCGCAATCTGAATAAAAAACGACTGCTTGCGTCATGTAACATAAATCTATTTGTACCACGTGTGTCTTATTCAACAATGATAAAAAAATATTACTCTTATTTGACAAACACAAAAAGAAGCTTGTTACCAAATACATTATTTAATAGAATAGGACCTATCTTAATATATTTTCTAACAAGCTTCTATTTGTTTTCTAACAGTCTAGTGTTCATGAACTGAACGCAAGCAGCGGTTTCATAGGATCGCAAGAAAAAAAAATGAAAAACAAATTTACGATTATTCGTTAGCATTAATTTTTGTTAACTAAAAACTAAAATAGAGAATGAATCGTTGCCTTAATTCAGACTGCGATTCGAAAGTACTATATATTGCAAATATTCATGCAACCATAAAGAATAGGGAACGAAAATGAAAACATTTTTTACTCTTACTTTTTCTGTGCTCCAGTATTCTTATTTATTAAATGCTTCTGGCGGTATTTGACCTCGTTTGTAGAACTCTTGAAAAGCCGCGAGAGCATTGTCGTAATTCCACGATACTTCCTCCAAACATTTTAAGCTCCACTCCAGATTCATGTTTGTTTGTTGACTGAGCGACATGGTCATCTGTTGCTTCATGTCTTCGCGAATCGGTCCCGATGTTGGTTTCACTACTCCACTACTCGAAGGTATTTCTGATGATGGACTCGTTACATGTGCTACCACTGGATTATCCAATTGCTTCAGTTGCGCGTCCGTCGGTTGACTGATATGTAGCTGCTCGTTCCGAATGCAGTAACCGTTTCCTTCCGGTACTATAATGAACGTTCGATTAAAATAACGAACATGCTGTTCTCTTTTCTCAAGTTCTTTGAACAGTCCTGTGACCGTGATGAGCATGATACCCTCCTGAAAACAGAGATTTCATATATTAAATAATGAAAGACTTGTAGTACATTAAGTTTGTATAGAAAATAGGATCTTACCGTGATTAGGCTAATGTCCATAGTGAATGTATTCAGGTAGTGAGAAGTTTGTGGCATTTCGGATATGAACGAAACTACTGGCAAACGTCCTTGTTTTAATAACTTTTGTCTCTTATTTGTATCATTCACACGATATAAATTTCTATTTTCCATCAAGTATCCATTCAATCTGGAACGTTCAGATTATTTATATAGAGGTACACTTTTATGTTTATCTTTGAGTTAATAAAACATGAACTTACTTATGATTTGGATTTTGGTTGTAGGATATGGTCATACTAAAACACGCGTGCTCGACATATGCGTCTAATAGTGGCTGACGATTCTCACTATCGAATATGAGAAAGTATTGTTGCAGAAATTGGCTAGCAACTTCTTGCGCCTTTGCGTTCGCGACGAACATTCTTTGCATGGGAGGCATTTTATTTCCTTCGTCTGCTACGTCAAACAGGATTGGCTTTGGGAGCTCTGTGCCATCCTTGACAACATACCGAAAGTTGTAATTTATTCGACGAAGTAATGATTGATAAGCATAAATTAATTTGACTTACCAGTCGTAGGAGCTTGGGGAGCCGTTTCCGCACGTCGCTATGGTCGGGAAAGAAAAGCCAGAAGCCCGGAAGCTCCAAGTTAGTCGTAATAACAGAAACATTTCACTTATTATTATAGTATAGCATAATAAAAGAGAAGAAAATACAAATCATTCAGAATTCTTAGGACTGAAACTAATATTTTTTATCAGGTACAAATAAGACTTCATTAATGACAGAAAAAAGAAAAAAACTGTTTCATTAATTTGTGCAAACGTCCTGGCATCTGATGCTTTATTAAATTTATTAATTATTAGTATAACCGAAGCAACGGCGAAATTTGATCAACGTAATCCAGACCTGAAGAATTCCATCATCATGAAAAGGAACATCATATTGAAACGATACATTACCTAATATAATCACTTTGTCTCGTTTTATACTTGTTGCATAAGGGGTTCCCTACTAGCTTTAGCTCCTCTAGCTTCAAGTCTTTTATAGCATCTATTTGGGCAATCTCTCTTATCTAAAAAATGTAAGTTACAGACATGAATAACAAATATCTCAAATATAAAATGTATAACGATATGAACCAGTCGTAATTTGTGTTATGTATAATTAATTACCTTATTATCGCCAATGTATAAAATTTTCAATTTTGGAAACTTCTCATTCAACATGCTTAATGCTTCAGTTGTATGTATCATATTTGCGTCTAAATTTAAGGCTTCCAAATTTGGTATGTGTTCTGACACAATCTCCAATACAGTTTTTAACATTATAGGCCTGAATAGCGCACAGAAATAATCTGTAATTAGATCTACAACAAATAAAGTTAATATATTATACTCGTAGAAAAGATTAAAAAAATTATTTAAAATTTATACTAACCAGGATCTTTATGAAACTTTGACAGGTCTAGTGCATTTGTTTCATGTACATATCTTTTAGCCATAGCTTGTTTCAATCTTTCTTTAAATTTATCGTCGATTTCGCAACGTGGGAGTCCAGGTTTCGAAACTTTCACTTGTAATTTGAATCCATCAGTAGTTGTGATCTTGCGATCAGAATTGAATAGCGCCACCGCCACTCTGTTATCATCAATATAAAAACTAGCTTCAGTGGCTGATATCCTGTACTGTTAAGAAAATTTTATATATTAGACAATTTGCATATTATACAATCCTTTAAGCTGAATGATTGTAATCAATATGTTTCATATTCACCATTATTGGAACAAAAGTTTCTGGTGCAATATAACTGAGAAGATTGTTTATAACATAATCTTTACTATACTTATGTCCATATGGTATCTGAAATTAATAAGAACTTTATATAGTATTTATTTTCCATTAATATCGGACTAAGGTATTCCTTCAAAATATATGATCTTTCACACTTACAGTAATTTTATACCAACTAGTTTCTCCAAGAGGAAGTTGTCTAGCTCTAGATAATGGTCCTCCTCTAAACCTCCTATGAGGCACAGGACTGTTTCGTCCACGCTGAATACCTCTATCCCTGCCTCTCATTATCACTTGTCTATTATTATTATTAGAACTGTTTGCCATTGGAACATCTTCTGATGTTAAATCGTCTAAACATGCTAATGCCAAATTTCTAGGCATGTCTCGCGATGGTCTCGATTGGGTTTTGAAAGAAACCCTGGGTCTATGACCAAAATATGAACCTCCATCATTTCTTGATACTCGATCATCATGAGCTATATAAAAAATTAATAATAATATAAGTCATCTATCAAGTTCCATTTTAGACACAAAACAATCAAAGGAAAAGTAAGAGAAGTAGACCACATAGAGTGCATTATCAAAAATATTTACCGAAATAATGTTTATCGTCAAAATTTCCAGGTCTGCCACCACGTCCACCCCATGATGATTTACCCGGCTTTTTCGGCATGTTCTTTCTTATGTGAAACAGTAAACGATCACAAATAAAGCGCAATGGTCATTGCAGATTTTCATAGGTTACAAGACGTACAATCTTTTTGTACGCGCAATCAAAATGCGTTTGTTACGTTATGGTTGAAGTTAACGATAACAGATTAATGGTCGTAAATAATCAACGTAATTTCCTTTCCATCAATCCGTTCTTTGGTCGAAGAACAAAAATTGCGTTACACGAAATGCAAGTACAACAACTTGTTCCCTTTATTCACCACTCACTGCCACTCACCTTTGTCCTCTTCAACGGGACTAACGGGAGCCACCGAGAATTGCCGAGAATCAGCCCCTCTGCCCCCTCCATTTACGCACACTATAGTACCGTACCCGTGTGCTCCGAGCTCGGCTCAACTTCGGCTCAGTAGAAAGAGAAGGCGAAACATCAGTCCGTCGCTCTTGCTCCTGATGCGTTAAAATTCAAGGGGCGCGCAGTCGATTAGCGACTGTTGGAACTTGGAACTCTCAATTCCCGCCTTTCTACACATTATAAGTACATGTTGTTAAAAAAAAAAATGAAAATTTTTCTGATCACATGAGACCACATAAGAAAATGAATTTGAAGATTAATTTTCTACGTAAATTTAATTTGGTTATAAGATTGGCGCGTCCGCTTGAACTGTAACGCATCAGGAGCAAGAGCGACGGAGTGATGTTTTGCCTTCTCTCTCTACTGAGTCGAAGTTGAGCCGAACTCGGAGCACACGGATACGGTGCGATGCGTAAGTGGAAGGGGTGATTCTCGTTGGCTCCCGTCCTCAACCTGGCCACACTGTGGCTCCCGTCCACGATCTTATCGTGTTCCCATCCTGTCCTCAATCTGGCAGCTTTGTCGAAACGTACAAAACAAGAAGATGGCGTGTCAGCGAGAAATTGGTAGAACCACGATGGTAGAACTGTTAGACTTTCGATCAGCAATGTATGACTTACAATAAAAGGGGAGATGACAATATTTACAATTAAAAATGCATTCAAACATGCATTCTTTCAGATCACATATGTTTATTAAAACAATTTATGTAATTTGTTAAGTCCCAGCTTTAAAAGTGGTTATTTAGGATAGTTTCTCTTATGAGGGAATATCGTATTTTTACAGCCTTTGTCTTCAACATGGTGCTATGGTACTACAGCCTTTGTCTTCAACAACAAGATAAGCTCGTTCGCGCAGCCTATTAATTATTAATTTAGTTAAGGTTCTTTCGGTATGTGCGAGAAGAATATCGCGTGCTCGCTTACAGGCTCTAGTGAAAGCAAATATACTAATATTATTTCCATCGTACAATGGAACTGAATCTACTGCTTCCTTTAAGGAGAAATTTAAAGGTTCATTATTTCGATTTTTGACGCTTTGACTACTATTTAAACTATCTCTTCCATCTAGATTTGAACGAGCCGCGTGAAGTTCGCGCGGTGGTTGTTCGGCTTCCCTTTGTACGATTTCTTGGATTTCATGGATTTCATTCGTTTTACTTTCAAGATCACAACTTTATTCGAGAGCTTGACAAGTGGACAATAGTTCCGTTCACAATTGCTCTTGTACTGGGTCGGTTCCTTTTGCCTTTTCTAGAGCCTCAGTTTCTCTACGCAATCTACGTTCCTTTTCTGCGAGTTGCGTCTGTAATGCGAGCAGTTCAGCTTCCGATGCTATTGATTGCGTATCCGCGGTTTTTCGCGTATGTGATCGTGTTTCCATTTTCTTCTTCATCTTTATTTATTTATTTATTTATTTAAAAAAATTTCAACCGTGGGGATTGTCAGTATCCGACCGCTGCCACCAAAAATGTTACGTCCCAGCTTGGGTTACCGATAAGCTAGTCCTCCACACCGGAACTTGGAACGACAATCTTTCGAACCACGCGAACGGATATGTATATCGAGATCACGCATGTGTCAGTAGATGGCAGTAGCGTAATATATACAAAAGATTAGGTTAATAATGTTAGTTTCATTGAAAACACGTTTGCAGATGGTTTTTAATGTTTTTAATCGATATTATCACTAATTAAATACGTAATTTCTGTGTGAGAACATAAGATTATAGACAATTCAACAAAAATGGTAAATACTGATTTTTTCATCAATAGAATATTGTTTTTGTTTTTGGATACGTAGAATTTATTTGCCAGGTTATGTTTTCTTCAGTTATTTAAAATACTTTTGTTTAATTTATCCAATGTGATTAAAATGTTTTGGTATTTGTTTATAATGAACAGGGAAAGAATAAGAAGACTCGGAAGGTTGTTCTCCAGAGGTATGCACAAATGAAGAAAATGATTAGTCTAACAGACTCAAGAATGTAAGTAGTTCCTTATATATCACTATTAACCCCTTGAACGACAATTTATTTTTAGTCAGCACTTGAAAAAGAGGAAAGTTTATGACGAGCTGGACTCGTCATTTCCGTTCAAGGGGTTAATACTATAAGAAAATATATGCTAAAGCAAGTGCTAAATGCTAGTTCATTATTTTCAGAAAACCAGAACTTCGTGCAGCATCAAAAAAGAAAAAGAAAGAAGATCCAACTCAGCTAAAAATAACAGAAGCGTAAGTATTATTGTATAAATTTAACAAATTGACGATGGCACTTATCACTGGTGGTTCATACTTAAATGTTTCTATTGGATGGTATATATCACCAGTACTTTGATATCACATTGGACAGCATGGACTGACAAATATATAATTAATTAAGTTAGTTTTGATAAATAGAGAAAATTGTCATGTTGTTCAAAATTTATGAAGCTCTCAGATGACAAGAAACACATATTGCAACGCCAGTGTCAATGTGTTAAACCCTTCAATGAAAACTGTATAATTCATTGTATTGTTTTCTTATAGACCTCAGCAATCTTCTGCATTGTTTTTTCAATACAACACACAATTGGGACCGCCCTATCACATCCTGGTTGATACGAACTTCATAAATTTTTCTATAAAAAATAAATTGGATATTATAGAAAATATGATGGAATGTCTTTATGCGAAATGTATTCCATACATAACAGATTGTGTGATGGGTGAATTGGAGAAATTAGGTCAAAAATATAAAATAGCTTTGAAGATTATAAAGGATCCTAGGTTTGAGAGATTAAATTGTTTACATAAAGGCACTTATGCAGATGACTGCATTGTTAATAGAGTAACTCAAGTAAGTGTGATAATTATCAAGATTAAACTCTCTTCCAACATTTGAGTATTATATTATTGAACGTTTTTAGCACAAATGCTACATTGTTGCAACGAATGACAAGGACTTGAAAAGAAGAATACGAAAAATTCCAGGCGTACCGGTAATGTACGTCGCCCAACATAGGTACACTATAGAAAGAATGCCAGATGCATATGGAGCCCCTAAAAAATAAGTTGAAACTGTTGGACTTGGTCAGTGAACCAAAGCTGCCGATACGATGCGTTCGCTTTTATATCTTAATCTTTTTACTGTACAGTATAGATTAATAAAATACACATTTTATAATAAAACGAATATTTTAATCAGACCCTTTGCGATTCTCAATACTCTGCAAGATGGACAGAGCGTTTTTTCCCCGACAGACAATTCAGAAGCGACCTATAATCGATACATTTTACGCTGCCATTCAACAGCCGTAGATAAACAGGGGAGAACGCGTTACAGTTATTGTTCGGTGAAACAATGAAGCTGTTGCGTGTAACGCCCACGTGGCGCACCGCAAACTCGATAGAACTTTACTGTTTCGCGAATGATGCCTGTCCGTATATGGCCGTGGCGCGAAATAACGTTAGACATAGTGGGCGCAAAAGGGCTGTTTCGAGTGAAGAATGACCACCGACGAATTTATTACGGCCGCGCCTCGCAAAATAAGTTGTTAAAAGTTGTTAAAACACGATCCCTCTCACGCTCACCCAAGAGATATCCAAGCGCTCGGATAAAGACCGGCGTTAGCGATCGTTACGGTTACCTACGCGGAAAGCGATCAGATTTCTGACTAAATCGTGCCTTCCCTCGGCGAATTGCAATCCCCCGTACCGTTGCGCAGATCTACTCGATAAGATTTATGAAGTACGCTTTCGTGGATACGCGTGATATCACAATTTTACGAGTGCGATTCGTTGTATACGAAGATAGTATTATAAACGTACGGTAGAAAACATAACGCGCGTTAAATATAACTGGGTATACTCGGAAAATGACACACAATTGTCACGATCCTTTCGAGATAAGGATGTGTAATACAACGTTTAATAAAGATGTGGCGATAAATAAATGGTGTAAAAAATAACGTCAATTACATCGCTTTCTATTACATTTATCACGATCACTTATGAGAAATGTGTTGTAGATAAATCACCTTTTGTCTCAATATTAGTTATTTGTGCAGCAAATACGTAATCGTCCCGGCTGACTTTTCACGGTCACTACTACTTGTTTTCTGTATCTTTACGCTCTCATTCATATCTCCCGTGTAATTAATCACGTTCGCTTTTGAGAAAATCTTATTTCAATAGTAACGATATCGCAATCGCGATACGAATGACGAATTAAATTTTAAAATTGGACATACTCCAGAATTTGTATCGTCTTGGTAAATGTCACGATCTCTTGTCTTTCGGTTCGTAACCTTTCGAACACCGTGGACCAACAAATGGCACATGCATGCATGTTGCTGCACGGCTGAACGTCGGATATTAATCACGCAGTACCAGCGGCATCCTGCCGCACCCTTCTTCGCGACAAATACTTCGAATTAACCCTTCCCGACCAGAAGTTTAATATTTGCCGAATCTATTTACTCCTTAACTGACAGTTATACGATTTCTCTACCCTTGAAAAAGAAAGCGTAGGGTCCTCATAGGTGATAGTGTAATAAGAAAAGTGTATCTAAGTCAATTAGAATTGGAATACCACGAAGGACATGCGCTAACAAAATAGCACTCAACCCTTCAGAAATGCTTCAACTACCTCCACGTCTAGATAAAACGAACGTTTAAAACGTTTAGTCTGCCACGAGTTAAAGGCCTCGCCTCCTAATTTGCCGCATTCCCAATACATACTTCCCGTTAGATAACGATCCCGCAAAAGTTCGAAGGCCATCCATGCTCTTCCTTATCCAACCCACGCCCTGTTCAAGAATCCCAGTTACGTTTAGCGAAAAGCGAAACCGGAGGAAAGAAAAGAGAATAAAAGGAATAAAACGACGCGTGAATCGGGTTGGCTATCGACACGGCAATCGGCACACATTATCGGAGAGGTGGTGCTCGTGTACTCGATCGCGGTACCTAGTAAACTAGATTAAAGGAAAACAGTAAAGAGAATCTAGTTGCGCGCGTAGTTCGCGCATTCGGGGCGATAATGAAAAACGATAAAAAAGATTCAAGAAAACGGAAGAGAGACATAGAAGAGAGGCGGAAAGTTCGTCCGATCGTGGTAACGGATTAGTTATAGAAGTGACTATAGGGCCGCGGATATATATCTATGGCATCGTGGTTCTCCGGGCCTCTTCTCCTCCTCGCTACCCTTGTCGTCTTCTAACTACCATTCTGTCTCCCTTTCTCTTCGGTCACCCCTCCTCCCCCGCGCATTATTCATCTTAGCTTTTCCATCCTCGTTCACCCGATTCAAGCCACAGGGCCCTCCTCGTCGTACGGCTGAATCCATCTCCCTTTCACCTGAAACCGGCTCTCTCTCCATCGTTCGCCCGTGAGCAGTCCTCGTCGCGAAGCGCTTCTCAGAGTCGGCCATCTTGCATACCTGAGCCTCCGCATTGCTCGTTCCTCGAGGGCAAAAGGGAGAATATCTCAGCGCGAGACGACGCCGGGATGCGCGAGGATAGAGTCAAAGGGTGGGAGGATAACGGCCGCGGGGACAGGGGCGAAGGCCCTCTTCGAGGAGGCCCGAGCCGCTTTAGAAGGGCCCGAGGAAGGGGCGACGCGTATAGGGCCCACAGAGGGGAACCGGGCATTCGGCCGGACTGGCGTGTCCCACTAGGAAAGAGGAAAGTTGACTGTCGACCCTTGGATCAGACGGAGAACGAGGGTGAAGTATGCAAGATGGAAAGACTACCGGAACGAACGAGGACGGAGAAAGTGGAGGGGCCCAGAAAGAGCAGGATGGAAGTGGAAGGCCCGCGAATGCTTCTACAGACAAGGAAGGAAAGCAATATTGATGACTGGATGAAAGAAGACAGTGAAAAAGGATAGAGAAGGAGAAGGCATCGTGGAGGGACAGGAGAATCGACTTAGAGAGGGGAGTAAGGAGGAAGCGAAAGAGACTTCTGGTATGGAATGGGATAGAAGGGATGTAGAATTGTCCGACTAAACAAGGACAGCGATTGGTATCCGAAGAAAAGGAGGGTCCGCAAATGCTTTGTTAGAAAGAGATAGCCAGTGGTACCGATCATTGGATAGGGAAAGATGCGAGAACCTTAGAAGGAGAAATGAAAAGGAGGAAAAGCGATATCGATAGGCTGCCTGAGAAAATCCGAGAGAGAAGAGAGCTCGGGTCCAGAGGATGGAAAAAACGTAGTGAACAGAGACGGCTAGAACAGTCGAAGACAAAGACGGGGTGAATTGAAGGGAGACGAAACATCAAAGGATCATCCAGTCGAAACGGGAGGAGAGATATCGATAAAAGGGTGCCAAAGGTGGTGCGAGGGAGAGGAAAATATCGATAAAGACAGAGAAATCGAAGAGCGAGAGAGTAAATGGTTGCATGGTTTCTTCGGAGAAAGAGAAAAAGTGATATCGATGGAAGGTGTGCGAGCGCAGGGCACAGTGCGGAGGGGAGTGAACGAGGTGAGAGAGGAAAGAGGACTGAGAGAGGAGCGGGAGAAACGGAGACATACGGCGGGCCCGATGGATCGGAGAGGGACGCCGTCAACCCCGAAGAATGCCTCTCCTGGCAGCGGCAAGGTTCTGGGACCGTCTCGATTTAGTCGAGTCAGGTCAGTCCTCGGGAAGGTGATACTCTTCGTCGCTGGGCCTTACGTCGTCGCGTTCACGGCCCACGTTACTATTTCGATTCGATCCCCTGTACGCGTGTGTCTGTGCTTTTTCCGTTTCATTTATTTTCTCGGCTTGTCGCGCGCGTCTTCTCTTGGTGTGTTCCCCTTTCTGACTCCGTGCAACGAACGTTTCGATACGTGGGAGCACGCGAGAGCACCACGCGAGTGAGAATTCCCCATCGCGAACGGGACTACGGCTCGGTAATGATCAAGTCTCCACGACGCGTACGATCGATGGATTTCAATGTGATGCAAGATCGGATCTAGTAATGTCTTTATTGTTCTGTAAACAAAACGTTGCATCTATTGTTGAGTGGAGAACAGTAGCTCGAAGTTCTCGTCACGTTGTTTCATTACGTATCGCGTGTGCTGTGTGTTAACATGCTCGATCAACGTTAGATTTTTAATCCACGAAACGGAGCGGCGTCGAAGTGATTCGATATTTATTGTGTCGCATTCCAATTGGAATTCCCTCAGAGGTAGTGTCTCGTTGAAAGCAAAAACCTGTTGCATGGTGGAAGAGGAAGCGTCGAGAGGAATTGATTAACGTCGCGTTTCGTGCAACACGGAAGGAGCGTGGAAACGCGCGAAAACCAACGATAGTTCAGTCTTCGACGCGTGTTTACTGTTTCCCTTGAACCCTCATTTTTTTGAGGAAGAACCGGGGAGATCATAGGAAGGTGAAAGAGCATCCTGGAGAGGAGCAGCATTTGCGGACGCGTTTCGCGAGGCGCGGCTCGGCGCAGGTCAGTGCCCCCTCTGTCGGCTCTCTCGACTCTCGTGTGTTCACTTGACTTTCTGCGGCAACGAGTAAAAAACACCGAATAAAAAAGAAAACGCCCACACCTTCGAGGCATCCTTAATCCGATTTCGAGTCGAGGCCCGAAGTCGAACGCAGATTCGAGCCGAAAAAAGCGTCAGTGGTAAAAAGAGAGGCATCGAAATCGTGGAATTCGTTAACCAATCCTACCGAGTAATCCAACGTAATAAATCATTAAAAAGCTTCGCCTTTGTCAATGCCATGGAATACCTTAAGCGTGCTAACAACGGTTCATCACGCTGAATTCCTTACTTCTATAGTACGAATAATTTAATAAGGAGGAATATTGGAATCATGAAATTTGTTGATCGTTGCAACAACGATTGTTCGTGGTAAACCAATGTTTTATTGTCATCATGTCCGATGTGCGAATGGTTATGTGAATCACGCGCAAGAAAGATGAAATTGGCGGTGACGATGAGGAAGAAGAACGAGAGGTAGTGTAGACTGTAGGCGTGGAGAATTTTATGTCGTCGAATCGTCGTGAAGAGTTTGGGGCGCGCAAGAAGGGACAGAAGAAGAGATGATCATCCGAGGATCGATGGTCCTGGCCCTGGTCCTAGGACTGATGTCAGTGGACCAAAATGGCGGCGAGGAGAGGCACGCGTCCGACTATTTCTCCCGCAACCTACCTCAAAGGGTGATGCGGCTGGTGCCGCGAAGGTCGCCGATGCTGCCGC